CGATGGTAGGTGTGATGGACTTGTTGATTTTATTGCTGAAATCAGTGTGAGCACTTTCTTTTTAAACAGTCAAAATTATACCATCTCTATATTGTAGATAATATGTAAATTGTTGCTGATATTTATTTGCCAGCATGTTATGTTGTAATGTGGGACATTGTTTGTAACTAACAAATTACTGCTTCTTGGCTATTGAGAATTAATATGTTCTGGCAGCAACACAGACAGATGGAAAATGCTATTTTGTTCTTTTCTGTTTTTATAGGTAAGGCAGCTTCATTTAAAAAAAGTATATGTGTAGTAGCAAGGAGCTTGATAACTGCTCTGGTACCCTTATTTTCTATTTAGCATTTGAATAGTGTATTATTTAAGAAAAACAGAAGTCTTAAGCTTGAAATTTTCAGTTTATATGGTACATTGGTACTTATATAGTACTATGAGAAAAAAGTAAGTGTGCAAAATAATATTGAAGGGATGAGTGATGTATGCAAAAACTATTAATTTATTACGGCAATAATATAGTTTATTGGGGTTGGTAGACCATGTAGTTGGGCCCCTTGTGCCTAAAAGTAAATTTTATTGAAATTAATGTAAAATGGATTTATGTTAGCGCTTGTAACACTTCTGTTTGTAGTAAATGGAAAAGATTCCATGAAGTGAAACAATATAGCATGCATATTAAAAAAACACTTTAAAACATCTTGCAGAAGCAAGCTTACATACTGTCAAAGATACCCTTGGAGATAGATAGCAAAGTGGGGTTTATGTGTTCATTGAAATAATTCCTCATATACTTTATTCTTTTATTAAATACTTAGATGAAAATTATAATAATGCCACAGCCCTTGTGATCACATTTCCTGTCAAGAATTACTACAATGACACAGAAAAGCTGATGAAAGCTTTGGCTTGGGAAAAGGAGTAAGTTTTTTTTTCTAAATTAGGTTTAACTGAATCCCTGTAAACTTTTTATGTTGAAGTTCAGTAACTTTCCTGCTCAGTAGATTCTAGAACTGTAATAAAGATATGCTTTATAGTGTCTTAAGTGCTCCAAAATGAGGCAGCAACTTCATGTTTTCACAGTGGGAATATTTATATTATTCATAAATAAAACATTAGTGTTTTCTTTGACGTTAATAATTTTTTCCAGTTCTTTCAGTAAAGGAATTTTAATATACAGACCTTTATTTTACACTTACAGCCAATAGATTTCACTTTATTTTTTAAAATCTTAATTGGGGAGATCAAGGTGGTTTTAATTTGAAACATCTGAAAAACATGTTACCTTAAACATAAGAAATGTAGGATCTTACACCAAAACCAGCAAGCATTGGCAATGCAGGGTTCAATTTAACAATAAAACATTAAAATAATTTTGTGCAACATTTTGCCCACACGTTTGTGTTTAATAGAGATTGGTTAGCTTGACTTTCTTGAAAATTATTGACACTCCTGTCTGTTTTTCAGGTTTATCAATTTTGTGAAAAACTATGACAACCCAAATTTAACAATTTCCTTCTCTGCTGAACGTAGTATTGAAGATGAAATAGATCGAGAAAGCAACAGCGATGTTCTCACTGTTATAATTAGCTATGCAGTCATGTTTGTGTACATTTCCATAGCTCTTGGGCACATTAAGAGTCCTGCTACATTCTTGGTATGCATCTTTTTAACTATTGAAAAATAATTCTGTAGCAAAATACAAAGTTCAATTTTGCAAGTCTAGTTAATATTTTAGTCCCTCTGCATGCAATCTTAATGTTTACTTTTATTATTATTTATCCTATTACTTTGAACATTTTCCTCTGTAACAGCTATAAATAGAAAGGCAGGTGGGTAACATCCAGCATCTGGAAGTCCACACCCATCTCTGCTGTTAAGTATCCTTAATTAGCTGATTTATTTATCTATTTATTGAATTTTTTACCAGCTTTTCTCTTGAAAGCTTATGGAGGCACCCATGGTACAATATAAGTGCTTTAAAAGTACTGAAGATAGTATGTTTCAGAATAATAATTTTCCTGAATCAGTAAAGGAAATATGTATGTGTATTACACATTTCCTGGATTAGGAATTGATATTCCTGATGTTGCCTGTTCACTTTATATTTCTTTGAATGAAATATGCATGCTTATTTTGGCACAGTTAGTAAAGTGCAGCTGGATTTGACAATGAGTCAAACTATTAAACTGTAATTATGTTTGAAAAGCAGTATTTTAAAAAGACTTTTAATGTATGTTGTCTTTATTTACTAGGTGGATTCAAAGATCTCATTGGGCATTGCAGGCATCCTAATAGTACTCAGTTCAGTTGCATGTTCTTTGGGTATCTTCAGCTATTTTGGAGTCCCCCTGACACTAATTGTTATTGAAGTCATTCCCTTTTTGGTGCTGGCTGTTGGAGTGGACAACATTTTCATTATTGTTCAGACATTTCAGGTATTCTTGTTAATATCATGTATATAATAGGCTGACATTTGCATTACAACATTTCATTGGAATAAATTAGTGGTGCGTTTAGCCTATTATTCTTTCTCTGGCTTGGATAGGAAGTACAAACCAAAATGATAATCTGTCTAATTCAGTTACTGTTTGGCAGTAGCTCTCCCAAGGTTAAATATATTAATTACAATGGTGGTTCCATTGTAATTAATATATTTTGGAAGTGGCTTTTTGCAGTAATATGTTAAGAACAATGACATCATTAACCTCCCTTTAAATACTGTCAGTGTGGCATTGAATATCAGTTTCTGGGGAGCAAGGAGAATGCTGTGTTTGTGGCCTTCTAAAAAAAACCCACCCTACTTTCCAAGGGAGGTGGGTGCTTTAATCCTTTCAGGAGAATATCCATGTTGATGAACCTTGCAAAGCACCCCTTTCAAGGGTTTTGCAAAGTTATTAATAATGTGACTAAAAGAGAGGGGTTAATTTTGTCTCTTCTACTAAAACATTGTGTTGCATTTCATCTAGACAAGGAACAGGATAATTTCTAGAGCAATGAAAGGGATGATTGTCTGTTTTCTTATTTTATTGGTCTTCTCAATTCTTGGGAGAAGGGAAATCAATATTTTCTCTAAATTAGGTTGGAAAAACATCAGTTTAGCCAATGATAGACTGCTGTTCATTTTGGACTTTTATAGTATTTTAAAGGAGAATATTTAGAATTCCTGAGTGCTTTTACAGTGTGTTTGCATGCGTGTGTGTGTCCATGTAGGTATGAGTGACCATATAGATACAAAACATATTACTGAACTGTCAAAAAATAATGGGTAGCCTGGAGCCTTTGCATGTTGGCAAGGAGGCATATTTCTACATTTTCTTAACTAAAAATTTGTTTCACATATCTGAGAACATAATTTGATCTAATAAGTGAATTGTAATTTCAGAGAGATGAACGGCTTCAAGGTGAAACATTAGATAAGCAGATTGGTCGAATTCTTGGAGATGTGGCTCCTAGCATGTTTCTTTCATCATTTTCAGAGACAGTGGCTTTTTTCTTAGGTAAGATTTTTAAATTTGTACTTGGGATTTTGGAATTAGTTATTTTCTCTTACTCCATGTCCAGGGTTTAAAAAGAGTAGAACGGGTGAAGCTTTTATTTCCAAACCCTTGAAAATCAACATCAGCCCCACAGAGAGCTGAGCAATGGTGTTTTAAAAGCAACAAGTAAAATGCATTTCAGTAGAATGCCAAAATTGTTGAAATATAAACTGCCAAATTCTTGATACAATGTAGAAATGTTTTTTTACCCCAGCCTTTTCTTATTTATGAACACTATGCTGAATACTACTCATATTTTTACTTTTCACCAAATGTATTTCTGATAAAGGTGGAAATAGATTCCTATAGATTATTTCTGAATTTAAGGCACCTGGTTAAGTTAAATTCTGAGATTTAAAAAAGATCCCTTAAGCATGTTGCCTGCATACTGTTGTTTTTCTCTCATCCTTGTATGGGAGGCTTGGCATAATATGTTCATGGAAAACCAGGATTTGGAAAAGAAACCTTAATGTGATGCCTACTATTTGGAATGCTTTTCTTTTATTGAAATAGTGCCTGTTACTATACAGAGAGTCCCCTACTTGCAAACTTTCATATTGTGAACTTTCACTGAGATGAAAGATGGACCCAGAAGTCAGGCTGGAACTCAGAACCAGAAGTCAGGAGAAGGTGGGAAAGGGTTAGTTTACAGCAGGCCGCAAACTAACTCTTTCCCACCTTCCCCTGCCTTCTGTTTGCATTGGAGGTTTCCACTGGAGCTGGAGTTCCCAGAAAGGGTTAGTTTATGCAGAGCGCTCTGTTGCCGAGTGAGGCAGGAGAGGCGGTGGTGGCAAAGGATAGGGGGGAGGGGGGGAGGTCTCCTGCCTCACCCAGCAATGGAACACACTGCACTCCGCCAGCTTGACCCTTCATCCAGGGAGCCACTGCCGCCTTCTGCCTCACCTGGCAATGGAGCATGCTGCATCCCACTGGTTCTTCCTTCACCCAATGGAGCACACCATGTAAATTAACCCTTTCTGGGAACTCCTACTCCAATGCAAACCTCCAACCTCCTGGAAGGTGGGAGAAGGCAGGAAAGGGTTTGTTTGCAGCATGCCTCTGTCCCCTCTCCTCCGTTACACCCCCTCTTCTGCCTCACCCAGCGAAGCATTGGCAGCAGAAGACAGGGCTCCTCTGCCCACACCACTGCCGTGCCTCCTGCCTCCTCCTCTTTTTTTTTACTTTTTATTTGGTTGGACTTATGAACAGCCTCTTGGAATGTAACCCATTCATAAGTAGGGGACTGCCTATATTGCTTAGGTACCTATAGAAAACCCCTCTTTTCGACAGCATTTTTTTGTAGAATTGTAGAAATACACTGATTAATATTCTCTTTTCTCTCTTCCTATTTTTAATGACAGTATTTTACATTAACTTTTTCAAAAATGTGATTGGCAAACTGCTTTATGGTATTTTATGGGAAGTGTCATATAAATGTTTGAATATATTCTTTTGTATTGAGTTAGTATGACATACATCTGTTTCTTTTCTCTTTTAGGAAGTTTGTCTACTATGCCTGCAGTTCGTACATTCTCCCTCTTTGCTGCAGTGGCTGTATTTATTGACTTCCTTCTTCAAATTACCTGCTTTGTAAGTCTCTTGGGCTTGGACATTAAGCGCCAAGAGGTAAGTTCATTATAAGCGCTTTAATATTTGTTTTGGGTAAGTACTATTTTAGCCGCACATTTATTTTGGCGTTTTATATTTCAGAAAAATCGATATGATGTCCTGTGTTGTGTCAAAGGTGGTGAAGAAATCAGTTTCCATCACTCTAAAAGCATGTTCTTTCGGTTCTTCAAAAACATATATTCTCCATTTCTTCTTAAAGATTGGATGAGACCAATTATTGTACGTACTCCTTCATAGTTGCAGCTAAAGTACCTTTCGGTTTAAAGTATCTTTGCCTAAACTAAATAATAATCTAAATGCAATCATGAGATTTCTTTAATGGTACAACTATACTTAATTTTATGCAGATTTGTTTCTCCTTTAACAGGTTTTCAGAATGGTTAAAATCAGTTCAGTAGCCTGAACAGATTAATGTTCAATAAATTTTAGTTGGATTGACACTGTTACAGGAACATTTTAAATGTTTCTTCCATCTCATTGCCAGCATACCATGACACTGTTTTTACCCTTTAGGATGGAAGAGCTACAGTATATTTTCTAGCAGCACTGACTGAGTCTATAGATCTTTGAATATGTAAATCAAAATCTTGAAAAGGTTTAAGTGAATGCTGTTTGTGAGATGAAGAAGTCTTTACTGTGTTTCAGATATCCATATTTGTGGGTGTGTTATCATTCAGCATAGCAGTTGTCAACAAAATCGATATTGGCCTGGACCAGAGATTATCAATGCCTGATGTAAGTTTTTTCAGCATCCTGTACTGCTACCCTTTTTTTAGGAAATACTAAAAATTTCCTGAGAATTTTCTGAGAAAGACTGCTACCGATCTGTACATATAAGAAATAGACACTATATGTATATAGAGAGAAATAAGTGCTGTATGGACAAACATTGTAGAGATAATTTCTTACTTTGTTCTCCCTTCCTTTGTGTTCCATCTTTCTTTCTCTCTCTTTTAAAATAAGGACTCCTATTTGATAGCCTACTTCAACGATCTTGGCAAATATCTGCACGCAGGTCCTCCAGTATATTTTGTGTTGAAAGAAGGGCATAACTATACAACTTTGGATGGGCAAAATATGGTCTGTGGAGGAATGGGATGTGACAACAATTCTCTGGTACAGCAAGTGTTTGGTGCAGCAGAAATTAGCAGCTAGTAGGTATTCATTTTCCTCTTTCTTAAAATTTCTCTCTTGCAAATAACAAAGTTCTGTTAGAATGGAAACAATTTTTTATTTAGACTTGTGATTACCAGTTCTACTACTTTGATGTACAATAGAGCAAGTACTTGTGATGTACAATTACAGTTTGTTCTTCATGTGATTCCTGGATGCATTGCTTGATGGGAAATATCCAGAGCTAAGCACCTGTTATATTTGCTAAGATAAACCAATAAGTATATATAAAGTTAGAACATTAGCTTTTACTTGAAATGCATTTTTGGGAAAAGGCTACCAGGGTACACTGAAATTTGTCCCTTACTTACTGAATGGATTAGAAATAAAATTAAAGATGATACAGAAGACCATTAATTAATCTAGATATATTGGCTTTCTCTTTTGTTCTTCAAAGTTTCTTATTATTGAGTGAGGAATTTAAGATAGCAATGTGGAATCTAGTATTGTTCAGTAATACTTGTTTTACAAAACAAAATCTAATTTCTCTAATGGAGACATTTTGTTTGAAAGTATAATTAATTTAATAGGATTATGCTCATTGGATTAAAAATAATAGATAATTTACTGTTAAAATAATGATGTGGAAGTGTTATATATGTGACTTTTATAAATAGAATTGAACCATCAATTAAGTTTTTCTAATAAGTTTGAAAAAGTATCATGAATGAGAGAATATATTATTTGACATATTGATTTACAGTCAAATTAAGATAGCTGAATTAAACAAAAATTCAGAAAATGGACAGGGATTTCCCAGTGGCAGTGGAATTTATTTAATTCATTATAGTTAAAATATGAGGCTAATTAAAATGCAGAATACAGTGGTACCTCGGGATACGAACTTAATCCGTTCCATGACTCTGGTTGCAACTCGAG